ACAACAACAATAACAATTACAACATCATTATCAACAACAACAACAAACGCTACAACAGCAACAACAACAACAACTACAACAACAACAATAACAACTACAACATCATTATCAACAACAACAACAACAACAACAACAACAACAACAACAACAACAACAACAACAACAACACCCACCTGAGAACCCCACAGCCACTGTGAGTAGAACAATCGCAAGCCCAGACTGGGTACAATCCAAGAAGCTTAAGGCTATCAGGATCACCGCCGGTGTGAAGTTACCTGTGGACCAACAACATTCTGCAGGTGAATTAGAGTTAAGATTATCCATAAAAAAGGGAAAATATATTGATAATTATTTAGGACATGCTTTGAGAATTCGGAAGACAAGATTGTCGTTTTAAACATGACATTGAAGACCAACAAGACCAATAAGAGGAGGTAGCCGGTGTGAAGTCATCTGTGGACCAACAACAACATTCGGCCGGTGACTGATTTGTGGTTAAGTAAATTATTCATTAAAAGGAGAAGATTTAGATATTTAGGAGATGTCTTAGGATTTCCAGGGACAAGATTGCCCTTTCAGATATGGTATTGAAGACCAACAAGATCAACAAGAGGAGATAGCCGGTGTGAAGTTATCTGTGGAAACAACACAAAGTTGAGCAAATGGCTGACTTGGGGTAAAGTAAATTTTCCATATAAAGGATAAGTTTTAGATATAAAGGGCATACTTTGAGAATTTCAAAAACAAGATTGCCTTTTCAGACATGATATTGAAGCCCAACAATACAAAGAAGAAGAGATAGCCGGTGTGAAGTTATCTGTGGAGCGACACAATAGTGAGCAGATGACTGAATTGGGATATGGGATAAAGTAAATTATCCTTGAAAAGGAAAAGATTTAGATATGTATGACACGTTTTATGAATTTCACATACAAAAATTACCCTTTTAAACATGGTACTGAAGACTAACTGGCAAAAGAAGAAGAGGTAGCCGGTGTGAAGTTACCTATGACACAACACAATATTGAGCAGATGACTGACGTGTGGTAAAAAAGTAAACTATAATATATTACAGCAGAGTAAGAGAGAAAATACAAATTACAGAAATGAGATGCTTTCGAAGACTTTTGGGCATCGTTTGGATAGATCATGTTTCAAATAACGAAGTGAGGAACAGAGAAGACTTGCCATTGGGACCATGAAGATATTCTAATTACTGTAAAAAATATTTTAAAAAGAAAGAAACGCAAACTGAAATGGTGAATGGGCACAAAACAAGATATACTGGACTTGCAAAGATGATCCTACAGGGCACTGTACAGGGAGAGAGAAGGAAAAGCAGACAGAAAAAGAGAAAAAGAGATGGAAAGACAACATAACAGAATGGACAGATTTAAAGTTGGGTGAAGCCCTTTGAAAGTCTGAAAATAGAGAAGGATGTAGAAAAGTGGTTGTCCGATCATCATTAGTGCCCCAACGGTCATCTGGACTAAGGGATTAGTAAAGGAGAAGACAGAAATATCAAGGACATATTTTGAGAATTCCAGAGAAAAGATTGCCCTTTCAGAAAGAGTATTGGAGAACAACAGGAACAAGAAGAAGATGTAGTCTGTGAACAAGACACCATTGAACATGACTGCCTTGTGGTAAAGTAAACGATATCCATACTAAAAGAGACGACGGAGATATTTAGCACATGGTTTGAGATGCTCTTTCAGACATGGTATTGAAGACCTACAGGAAAAAGAATAAGTAGCCGGTGTGAAAATACCTGTGAAACAACATAACGTTGAAAAGATAACTTTTTTTTACTAGCAGAGGGTTTTACGGTGCTCGCAACTGCATAAGGTCATATGAGCGCCAAGGGGTGGGTATCAACAGAGAAGTCTTTACAGGGAATCAGACTTACTCTGCTCACCTCTCTAGCTTCAACAGCACAAAGTCTGCATCGACTATCAAGACACTCCGGAAATAGCAGGTCACAAGAGTGTGACAAACATACAAAAGAAGTAGAGGAAAATGACAAAAGTGAGGATTAGGAAAGAAAAAGCAGCAGTTCCCTGTTGTAGATCAGGCACAGTTACGAGCGTGACATGAATCAGCCAATTTACAATTCTACTGTGCTTGAAAGAGAAATGCCCCCCCCCCCCCCCTTTGGGAATGGCCTAAAGACACTACAGTCAGTGGCACTGCCCCGGGGGGGAACAGATAACTTAATTAAGATAAAGCGAACGATATCCATAAAAAGGAGACAAAGAAGATATTTAGGAAACGTTTTGGGATGCCTTTTTAGACATGGAATTGAAGAGCAACAGGAAAAAGAAGAAGTGGTCGCCAGTGTGAAGTTACCTGTGGATCAACACAACATTGAGCAAATGACTGAATTGTGGTAAAACAAGTAAACTATATCAGTAAAAAGGAGATAATGGAGATATTTAGGACATGTTTTGAGAAATGAAGAGACAAGGTTGCCTTTCAGACATGGCAATGAAGAACAACAGGATAAAGAAGAAGAGGTAGCCGGTGTGAAGTTACCTGTTGAACAACACGACATCGAACATGCGATCGACTGAATTGGGATAAAGTGAACTGTATCCTTGAAAAGGAGAAGACAGAGATGTTTAGGACATTAAACTATGTCCGTAAAATGGAGAAGATGGAGGTATTTAGGACATGTTTTAAAAACTCCAGAGACAAGATTGCCCTTTTCAGACATGGTATTGAAGAGCAATAGGAAAAGAAGAAAGGGTAGCCGGTGTGAAAATACCTGTGGCACAACATAGCATTGAACAGATAACTTAAATGAGGTACAGCGAATGATATTCATAAAAAGGAGACGAAGGAAATATTTAGGACATGTTTTTGGATGCCTTTTTAGACATGGAATTGAAGAGCAACCCGAAAAGAAGAAGTGGTCGCTAGTGTGAAGTTATCTGTTAAACAACACGACATTGAACATGTGATTGATTGAATTGGGATAGAGTGAACGATATCCGTGAAAAAGGGAAGACAGAGATGTTTAGGACATGTTCTGAGAGTTCCAGAGTGAAGATTGCCCTTCCACACGTGGTAATGAAGAGCAACAAAAAAAAGAAGAAGAGGTAGCCAGTGTGAGGTTACTGTGGATCAACACAACATTGAGCGGATGACTGAATTCTGGTAAACTATGTCCGTAATAAGGAGAAGATGGGGATATTTAGGAAATGTTTACAAAACTCCAGAGACGAGATTGCCCTTCCAGACATGGTATTGAAATCCAACTGGAAAAAAGAAAAATAGACCGTCGGTGGTTGGGAGAGGTGTTTGTTTTAGTAGAGGTTTTACGGCGCTCGCAACTGCATAAGGTCATAATATGGAGTGGTGTGTTGACTGACCGATGATGAGGTAGAGTTTCCGGGTCCAGGGTACCCTGAGGTAGCGTCTCTTCACCAGGACGTCAGCTATTGGCCCGGACACTTGCACAACCAGCATGAGGGCTATGTACGGCAGCATGGAGAACACGCCGTTCTGGGGACGGAAGGAGAGAAATGGGATGGAAGGAAGAATAGAAAGAAATAAGGGAAAAAGAAAATGAGTCGTTCTGTGCGGATGGATGGAGAGAAATGAAATAGAAAGTTGAAGAGAAAAAAATGGAGGAAAAGAGAAAATAAGTCATTCTGTGGAGAGAAATGAAATAGAAAGAAGAAGAGAAAGTATTAAAGAAAACAAAGAACACGCCGTTCGGTGGATGGAAAGAGAAAAATGGAATAGGAAGAAGAAGAGAAAGAATGAAAGAAAAAGAGAAAATAAGTCGTTGTGTGGAGATAGATGGAAAGAAATAAATAGAAAGATTGAGAGAAAGGATGGAGGAAAAAGAAAATAACACGCCGCTCGGGGGATGGAAAGAGAGAAATGGAAAAGAAAGAAGAAGGGAAAAAGAGAAAATAAGTGATTCTGTGGAGACGGAAAAAGAGAAATGAAATGGGAAAAAAAAAGAAGAGAAAGGATGGAGGAAAAAGAGAAAACATGCCGTTCGGGGGATGGAAAGAGAGAAATGAAATAAAAAGAAGAGAAAGAATGGAGGAAAAAGAAAAAACACGCCTTTCTAGGGACGGAAAGAGAGAGACGGGATAGAACGAAGAATAGAAAAAATGAAAGAAAAGAGACAATACGCTGTTCTGGGGACGGAAGGAGAGAGAAATGAAATAGAAAGAGGAAGAAAAAGGATGGAAGAAAAGAGAGAAAACACGCCGTTCGAGGGATGGAAAGAGAGGAATTGAATAAATAGAAAGAAGAGGAGAAAAATGAAGTAAAAGAGAGAACACGCCTTTTTTAAGAGGGGGGGGGGGGTACAAGTGTGCACCACAACTGAACTCACTCCTAACTCACCGACTTAACGTCAAACTTGAGAACCTCGTTCATGTATTGAGGGAGGGTGGACAGAAACAGGAACAGCCCCCAGGTGAAGCTGAACTGTGCACACACCAGGGCCCATACGGCGGGTGACGTCATTATGGCGCCATACGGGACCTTCACTGCCTGCAACAACAAAATCCCAGGGAATACTGTCTTGTTACTTTTTTATACATTTGGGTTTGAGGTCCCAATTTTAAAGAAAAAATCGTATGATTTTAGAAATCTGTGTTAAATTATTATTATTATTATTATTATTATTATTATTATTATTATTATTATTATTATTATTATTATTATTATATACTCTGTCACATTTTTAAGTATACACGATGGTAAAATTAAAATAGTTAGTTTCAAAATGTGTCGATATTCTTTAAAATTTCAGGAATACGAATTCAATCAATTTTAAAAACGAAAACAACAACAACAATACGGAAGGTTAACATAACCGGTTTATTCCCGACTTACAAGAGTGTGGGGGTGGTCTACAAAAGTAACACGATCAGTGGCTTTGATGACGGCCTGACATCGTCGCCGCCTTGAATCAATCAGTCGCTGCACTGCCTGTTGAGGGATGTTATTCCACTCTTCATGCTATGCTCTCTCAAGTTGAGGAAGTGTCTGAGGCTGGCGTTGTCGCATGTTGTTCAACTCATCTCTGGTTTGTCTTGACGTTTTGAAATGATTCCGCAGATGCGACAGGTGTATAAAAAGATCCTCTCTTGGAGTAGTTTGTTTTTTTCTCCCACGTTAACAGTGTCGATCCTTTCCTGATTTTGTTGGTTACTCACGATCCATTGTTGTTTACACGAGTATTCTTGTTACATTAAAATATCTCGCAACTGTGGATACTGAGGCACCCTCGTGGATCATTCCAACAAGCTGATTTTGCATATTTTCTCTTTGGGCGTGGCATGATGAAACGTAGACTTAAGAAGTTTTATCACTGGCGAATTGTTACAAAAATGACAAAGCTTTGATGTGTGCTTCTTTTTTAAACAAATCATTGCCGCATCATGAGTAATTCTAAAAAAATACGAAACATGTAACACGCATGCAGTTTCAAAACCACTCATGCGTTCAGAAATCTGAAAACAGCTCACCGGCGACAGGTACATCACGTAATCAGTGTGTAAATTTGAAAGTAATTGGTGGCATAGATTTTGTTTTATTGAACTTAAAAATGTGTATACTTAAAAATGTGACAGAGTATATTATTATTATTATTATTATTATTATTATTATTATTATTATTATTATTATTGTTATTATTATTATTATTATTATTATTATTATTATTATTATTATTATTATTTTTATTATTATTATCATCATTTTTATAATTATGATTGTTATGATTATCATGATTACTATAATAATAATAAATATTATTAGTATTAGTATTAGTATTATTACTATTACTGAATAGTTGGTAAAATTCAGTTATAACATCACTGATTGATACATCAAATTACTCGGGTTGGGACTCGAGGCTACCCGTTGTACCGACCTTGAACTTACCCTCGACTGGCTGGCAGCAGGAAGTGATGACGTAATATACAGCTTTTCTCCTTCTGTTATAAACTTCTGTTTCTCAGGGGTCTCAGCAGTGAAGAAGAAAAACAGAACAACCCAAACAATACCAATGATTCCTGAGGAGAAACGAAAGAAGAAAAAAAAAAAAGATTTAAAATCTACATGTACATTACATGGTTCTCGTGGGTTCCAAAATTGGGACAAATGTTAAATGTGATTCTCATGGGTTCCAAAATTGGGACAAATGTTAATTGATGTGTTGTGATGTTTTAAATGAAATCGATAATAAAAAAGTCTGTGTATTGGTCCTACTTGATTTGTCAGCAGCGTTTGATACCATTGACCCCGAAATTTTACTAGAGAGATTGGAAAAGTCATTTTTACTATCAGGTACTGTTCTAATGTGGTTTAAATCATATCTAGAAAATAGATTTATGTCAATGAAAATTGGCAATGATGTGTCTGATAGGTTACCTCTAAAGTACGGAGTTCCTCGGGGTTCGGTCCTTGGTCCTGTCATCTTTACAATGTACACGCAAAGCCTGTCATCAATAATTTCTTTATATGCCCTCAATTACCATCTTTATGCAGACGATACACAGTTGTATGGATTCACTACGACTGACAATGTACACAATCTTATAGATAGAATCGCCAGATGTATCAATGATATATCAAAATGGATGCTCAAGAATTGATTAAAATTAAATGAGGATAAGACCGAAATATTATTTCTTTGTAGCAGCGCAGGCAATGAAATCGACAATATCATCAGAATAAACACCAATGGCCACGAAATATCAGCCCAAACTAAAATTTAAAAAAATTTAGGTGTAGTGCTAGATCAAGAGAATTATGTCAATGAAATCCCATGTATCCAATCTTTGTAAAAATCTATATCTCCAACTGAAGAAAGTAGGGAGCATTAGAAAATATCTATCTGTTGGTGTCACCAAAACTTTAATAACATCACTTATATTGTCAAGGATTGATTGTTGCAATTCCTTACTGGCTGGTGTACCTG